ATGCGGTCTTTTCCTTGCTCTTGTCTGTAGGCACAGCTCTGCTTACTTTGACCAATCCCGAAGGTGACACGCCGGATGAAGAGTTGCAGAAAACGCGTCGGATCCGTTTTGTTGCATCGGCCGCTGTCGGGATTCTGTTACAGGACGTGGACACCAAATCCATGGATGAAGTCGAGTCTGAATTGATTGCATGGGAACGTGCGCAAAAGGTGTTTCGCTATTGGGCCGACACACCAGCCGCGTTGCCCAAAGTGCGTTCGTGTGCGGCTGCGTTGCTTCGACTTCTAGAGTGAGCAGCACCCACCCAACGACACACTGACAATAATCCCGAAACGTGCCAAAATGCTGTTTGGATGTTTTCTCCTGGAGCTTTTAGAAGCGCACGGTTTTTATCTTTTATTTTACGATTTTGACCGCCACATTTCTGTGTACATCACACTGATATCTTAGTAATTATTCGGTTAATCGAAAGTTCCCATGTCTTTTGCCGTTTATCCCCGAATAATATTCAAAGGGTATACTTTTTTCATTCAAAACGATATCATCCGAGGTTCACTTCTTTGCTTTGAAAAAGAATCACCTCAGTTTTACTGGATTCGTTGTCAGCATTTGTGATATTGACATTGATGAATGCATGGGAGGGATCAGTGATGTATATTGGTTGTAGGCCTTACCGCTGAAGTGTCAGTGGACCGCAACGTATGTAGTGTTTGAATTTGTTCCATATTCCCTTCTCAAGCTCCTTGAAAATCAGGTCTTCAGTGCGAGCTATCACTGAATTTAGTGATCCCTGTGCAGTCCCTTGTCTAGACCATTACTTACCTTATTTCCACCAGTTTTGTCAAAAAGGAAGTGTTCAACACCAGTCTGTATTTTTGCTCACTCAAAATAAGCTTTGTCCACAAGAGACCAGTCGGAAAGAGAGCAATGAAATTCGAGTAAAGTAAAATTCAAATTTTGCATGCCTGCAATGAGAGTCGAATAATAAATGAGGGAAATTAACGAAGTGAAGAAAAACTTCAATAGTCAGTTCATGCATCCTGGATGATATGGTCAAAAATGGACGCGACCGGAGTGCTTTGTTTACATATGCATTAATTCGCCTTCTGCATAAAGTTCGTCAATTTGTTTCTGGTAATGACTTCGAATATTGTCACGGGCCAACTGATAGCCCACTGTCAACAGCCCGTTCTCTATAGTCATTTCTTCAGTCACCAGTAGTATTGATTTTGCCTGTAATACAAAAATATGAGAAGTGGAAATCTTCATTTAGTTCTTTTCATGAGGCGTATTTATGCCATAAAAATGAAAAACTGTTTTGAAAAAGGTAAGTTATGTAATAATAGAACAAGACATCCTGAGAACTTTGACGGTCGTTCCTCGTTAAAGTCTTATTTATATGATCAAAAACATGTGGGTTTTCTAGTGAATGTCTGAGACTTTGGGATATGTCATGCATCGCGAGTGCCTACACTGCCAAATTGGTTTTTCTTCGAAAGAACTAACCTATATGAAGAACACTGACGTTCGTCGCCAATGATAACTCACTTAAACATTTGACTTTGAGTTCGATTCACTATCTCAAACCATTCACCTATGGACGTTCTAGGACATCCGTAGGATGCTAACCGCTTTTTAGTCTATTTAGAATACTGCGATATCTTGAAGGACTTCTGGTATTCTGCTTAGCTTCAACATCAATTTATGGTTATATTAAACGTTACCAGTCTCAAGTGTTTGAATTCTAGATGCATCATGTATAGGAGAGCCCTAGAGAAGACAAGATTAAACGGTGGGTTTCGTTATGCATAAGGCGAATAAAGTGTGAACTGAAAAGCTAGGAAGCACCATACGGCTATTTCGACCTGGTCGGGTCTGGTAAGCAGTGCTTATCCATCGACCGAATTGTGGGGTGAACGCGGCACTTCACAGTATCCCAGTCACTTGACCACCAGGCAGCTGATCAGACCGCTTTTTATTTTCGATATACACAATATAGCACAACCCATCTTTATGAGCTGAACACAGGTGTAATGTCTGCATTAGTTGACTGGGTGGGTATCCGAAAAACAGTAGTCAAAACCAGAGAACGAAGATACACACGAAAACTAGGTTGTTTTACGCGGAGAAATGCAAGTTCACATCTATCACTTGAGTCTATGACTGGCAAAACAATTCAGGATTTTTTTGCATAACTAATTCCCTCTTTTACCCGTCTTTATTGTGTTCACATTCAGCCGCAGCATGATCGATTTAATCAGCAATGAATAACCTTGTGCTTTTTCTACTATATTTGAACTGGAGTGAAATAAGCTTCAGGAAGTCATGTACGACCCCAAGCCTGATTATCGACACCAAACCTAAATGGAAACTCGAAAATACACTCACCATCTCAAATGTTTCCAAACCTTTTCTTTCGCCTATGCTGTTCAGTCTGGAAAGTACCATTCGACGAACCTTCAAGTTACGACATAACTCCTCGGCTGTTGACTCTCTCTGGCTCTTTTGTGGTTGCCTTGAAGTGAAATCATTTTCATTGATCACTCCAATTCTTTTCCCCTCTTCACGTATTTCATCGACTTCGGCCACGGCTAAGCAGATAGCGAATCGAGCGTTTGCCATACCATGTAGATAAACCGATTTGACCATTGGTGATCCTGAGTAGATTGTTTCGATCTTCTCTGGTGATACGAACCGTCCATCAGCTAGTTGAAACACATTGTGACATTTGCCCACAACTTGCAGCGATCCGCTCTAAAAAGAATAAGATCCTGCTCGTAAATTATTGTAAAGATGTGTGAAGTTCGGTAGTTTTCATTCTTAACCATAGACATTGATTGGAATCGGCCAGTGTTCCAATGCAAACCCAGTTTATTCTTCACAATACATGAGTTTTTCTTCTCTAAATGAAAACTGATTTTTACCGGAATACGTGATGAGGCTTTGGCCGAGATGCACTACAGAAGACAATGATGGAATACGGAAAACATAGGTGGTGATTGTGGGATCCAAACACATCATCTNGGGGGGGGGGGGGGTAATAAGCTGAAGACCCTAACCCATTTCAAAGTATTCCTTCTAACCACCCTTGATGGAATTTTCGCGCCAGTGACGACCAGTCAGGTATTCAGAATATTGTAGAAACTAGAATTTTGCCCAGAGACCGAAATTCAGTGTGGGTACCATTCTACTTTTGTCAGAATGACTCACTTCTGTCCAAAAGCCAATATCACCCGTCCTGAACCATTCACTGCGACTGCGTTTTTCTTCTCCGATCTGCAGTCTTCTTGAAACTTGCTTTCCTCGCACCATTATCTTGACAATATGAGAAACCAAACAGGCAGACANCATCACAAGATGATGGTTTAGGAGCTCAGCATCCACATGACACTAACGTCCTTAGTGTTATCAATTCATCCAGGTTCACAGTATCATCTTCAGTACATACGTATCATATCAAGTTATCTATACTGTCAATAAAACTACCAACCTTATGAATTACTTATGCATAACGGTTAACCGACCCTGTTTTCATGGTGAATGCATATAACTATGAGTAAGGTGTGTAGAATAATAATTAGGTTTATCACAGAAACAATTTCTTGTGTCAACAGAAAGGTCATCAACATGTTGAGTGATAAGTATAATTTAGAAAATTATGATCGATCCAAATCCGAGTGATTATAGCAGAAGTTAACGTTTCTGTTGACACATATTTCATTGAGCAGGGGATGAAGAAAGTTACTTGAGAAATAATAAAATACCCTGCCAACCGAACACAGGAAACCGGGAAAAGAGCATCACAGATGGTCACTTAACCTGATTTAGAGTGTCACACTAAACCCGATAAGTACTAGAGTTACTTTCATTGAAAACTGAAAAGTTCAATCTATTACGATTGGACTCGATTTGAGTACCGCGGAAAAACATCGAAACTTGAGTTCAAATTAGTCTGAAAGCAATAGCAGGAAAGTGGTATCAAGTCAGATCATGGACGACCGGTTTTGAAGAAATTGAGAATTATCGAAAAATGCAAAGCGGAGTGAACAAATTTTCTTGCGGCAGATTTGTGGACCATTCGCTCCACTAAAACTTCTAAAGCCAAAACGCGGTAGTCAAGTTTCTTCGCCGAAATATTCAACTTTAGCTTGAATTCCCGATTGTATAAGCAATATAAATCGTGACTATATTCAACTGACTTTTACGGCGTCAAGTGCTATTAGGAAGGATCCCTCTTAACGAGGTAAAACGATTTATTGAAATTGTGGGGTGGTGCTCTTCCAACCGAAGAGTTAATCGTACCTGAATGGTTCGAGGGGCAGGGCAGAAAAATTCTCGCGTTCCTGTCAGAGACACCGTAGTTTGAACTCAGTTAATAAAAATAGTGTATAAGTAGTCATTTTCTTAATACTCCTTCATTAGGCTCAATTCGGACTGCGGTTCTGGCAATGAAGAAAATTCATTAAATTTTATTTGTACTTCTGCTTCGCTTTTGATCTCTCAAGTTAGCTGTACACAAAACAGTGCCTGTGGCGGAATGTATAGAGAACAACCTGTTTCGGTGACGGCACTCACACTAACACAATCGCTTGATCACCATAAGCGGACGATTGCGCATGTCACCGGGTAAACTTCCTTGGCTTGTAATGTTTGCTCATGCAGGCCATAAATGCAAGACAATCAAGGCTGGTTAATCGATCTGGCATCAGGGTGTGAAAAAACTGACCAGCGGACCCAGTCACGTAGATCTCAGTGGGCCTCTTAGTTGTGGGCTGCTGTGGTGGGCAAGCAACTGAAACGTTTGCCTTGCATACCTGTAGCCTGGCTGATGCTACCTGCCACCACACACGCACGCAAACCATGCGAACTTGATCTATGACAAGATCGATTCAACTCGGCCAGCTATACATCAGTAGTGAACTGTTCACGTTCATTGACTGATTGCCCAGCTTGATCGCATTATGATGTCATGTAACGCTTGCACCTGCCTATCTGCTAACAGTCATGCATGCTCATCAGCCCACAAACCGGCTATGAGTCTGTGTTGTGAGCATACCTACAGCCTGATTCAGTACGTGGTTATGGGCTCCCTTAGCCAGGACACAAAAGTGACCGTTTTGACCAAACAAATCAAGGATTGGTACAATGAATGTCGTGAACAACGATGATCGTGCATCCATTCATTTCCCATACCGATGGAGTTTGCCAGCTTTTGCTTTTTTTGTTGACACTAGTTCTTACCTCCTCTTATTTGATCATCTAAATGGGTATCCGAAAGAAGCAATCCGATGTAAAAATAACTAATGCTCAAGAGGCGATCGATCACTAACCACCGGCCTCCGTAAGGATTGTTTACCGCACTCATGAAGCGGAACAAGCATGCTCAATCATTACCAAACACGTTTATTTCCATGCAAACGATTTGGATAAAAACAATATTATAAATGAGAATGCTGATGCATTTGCGATTAAGTATTACCCGGGAGTTTACATGCCAGTCAACTCCCCATTTGTCCTATGATCTGTTAATTACTATTCGTAATTAGTTGTTTCTTCCCCCATTCGCATGAAGCTACCTATGAGTACTTTCGGCATTTATTTCCCCTACGGATAAATTTCCGTTTTTCGGGAATCATAAGACTTCTACTGTCATGAAATTTATGTATGCAGTTGGCATATTTGACGGATCTCTAATGCTGTGATTACGATTCGTGTATTCGTAAAATTGCATATGTTCATTGATTTTAAAAGTTGCAGATCGCTTGCTCGAAGAGTGAAAAATTACTGATATCGGGGACCGAACCGCATACCGCCATGCTCTTATCACACGCGACACCTACACTGCACATGTCCTCTCACCTGGCTCTCGGTTACATCTGCTATTCAAGTCAAGGTATGGCTTTATACACCTCGAGATGTGGATACTCAGCAACCACATAACCATAGTGTGTCGACCAAACGTGGAGAAAAAAACAACATTATAATACAGCAATTGAAGGACCCAAAAAGGACAGCAACATCAAAAACCAATGGCATACCCGGGTGTTTATGATGAATTAAGTTTAGCGTTTGGCGCAGATTTCCTGCAACAAGTTTATGGTTTGTTAGAAATCTGGCGAGATAAGGGATAATAGACCGCTTGTAAGCTTCAGTGTGTCTTTATGAGTTTGTGAGTGGAAACGATGGATGAGTGAGAAAGACACTGACTAAGGGCGGAATAAAGAGGATGGAAAATATCAGATAAAATCTTGTTGGAGAATGTTTTGCAGGACTTGATGTGATGTGACACCACATAATGTACCAGATGTTCCCGTGGTATGAGACTACAAACTGACAAAAATTTGAGGGATCGGGAAATGAGTTTGTGATCTTTGTTAAAAAAACCAGGGAAGATAACAGGGGACCCATAATGCCAGTGAGGCAAAACACACGCAAAAACAAAACGCTTTATGAGATGGTTTGAAATGGAAAGTGACTTAAGAAGTAAAACATAAAACGTGAGCCTCCTGACCTTCAGAAAAACGTCACTAACGTGGTCAGACCAGGTGAGGTTACGACTGAAAATAACGCGCAGGTATTTGACAGACGGTTGTCGTTCCATCTGGCCACCGAGGATAGATAAAGGTGGGCTGGAGTTTGATAATTCATCATACTTTTGCCCTTTCTAAAAAGAACAAATTACATCATTACATTTTGGGGGCTCGTGCGGAGGTTCCTTTGTTGAGACCACTCAACTATTTCAGACACGTCTTCTTGTACAGTCGTTTGCATGATGAGTTGGGGTAGGGTAGTCCGAATATTATATCGTCTGCATACTTAACGAGAAGAGAAGAATTGCTCAGAAGCATAGAGAAAGTGTAAGCAGAAAATAGAAAACAGGATAAAATAGCGCCTTGTGGCACACCTTTTGAAGAGGGCAGCAGTGAAGATGTACGACCT